CTGAGTTGAGTGACATTTTGTCATATTGTGCTTCGAGGCGAAGCCATATGCCACTTAAATTAAGGAATGCAGCAGGAATAATGCTGGTTTATTTCGGAAATCTAGAGAAACTCTGCTCCGAATGTGAGCGGGTAACAACATGACTTTCACGAAAAGTTTCGTCACTCCACTCGCCAACGCGACGCGACCCGCCCCTCCCCATCCTGCCCGGTTCGGCCAGGACCGTCCCATTGCGTGGCGCGTTGGTTAAAACAAACACATGTCGCCCCGTCTCACGCAAACAGAATCCTGCGAAATCTTTGTAAATTAATTTAGCAACAGCAGCGCGGCGCTCACCCCAGCAGAGGGCAGCCGGCGGCCGTCGCGACAAGTTAGGAGGCGACACGCGAGCGGCGCCGCCGACCGCACATACTACTACTGTGCGAGGAAAACCACAAACCTCTTCCTCCCCTCTCCCCCCTCCCCCCGTAGCCCCTTTCCTCTCCCCTCTGTCAGATACGCGCCCGCCTCCCTCCCTCTCTCTGTCAATTTCGTGCCCCCCCCCCCTCTCTCTCTCTCTCTCTCTCTCTCTCTCTCTCTCTCTCTCTCTCTCCTCTCTCTCCACCCTGTGTGTGCGTGTTGCTCATTTCTCTTGTCACCCACCGTTTGGCTGCACACGAAGAGTCACGCTGCCAATTATTGAATCATTGCCACCACAATAAGGGCAGGACGCGCCCGCGCCGCAGCCCTGCAAACCTCCTCGTTATAATGCTGCTCCCTGGACGCCAACAACAACACCCTCCCCCTTCCTCTCTCTCTCTCTCTCGTCCCCCGGCCCCCCTTTTCTCACCCTCCCTGCTCGCCCTCAGAGCGCGCTTCTCCGCGTACTTGCACCGTCCGCCCCCGTGGGGAAAGTAAAAATAACGAAACGCTGAAATGACGACAAAGCAGAGCAGAGCAGCGCGGCAATCTGCAGAGGCAGCCGGGAGTATCGGCCGGGGACGCTGTGCGGGGAGCAGTCGGAGCGAGCGGAGCGGGCGGAGCGCGGTCCACCTGGGACTGAGTCAGCACGAGTCGGGCGGGGAGCTCATACGGCGGCAACCGAGGCCTTTATTCATCAAGCAGACGTTTCAACCGCAAAACAGTCCTCCACACGCTTCATATCTGCCATGGAAACTGCCTGTGTAAGACTGTCCAACACTTTTAGCTACGCCACAAACCTGGTGTAAATATTAGCCCAGTCTCCCACTTTTTCACGCAGAAAAATGAGTTATTTTACCTAATTGTTGGTAGCTGGAAGCGGCTGGCAGCTATCATTTTGCGATTTTTCTAAGCTATGTAGCAAAAGTGTTAGCAAACCCTATATTACCCACTAATATTAGCTGCAGCAGCTAAGATTTACCTGTACAGCTAACTATTTTTCTCGGTGATCTTGAGTTTCCAGAGTGTGGAGGTCAACGTGATGTTTTTTGCATGCTTCACACAATTGTTTTTTTAAACTCGACCAACAGTTGTACAGAAAAGCTTTGGAACTTTGTGCATATGCGTGCGCGTAAAAGTATGTTCTAAGCTCGGTATCATGGTCTGAAGACACACACAGCCAGTATTTAGCGAGTAACACAAGGCAGTTTGAGAGCGGTTGGGTAGGTAGCGAGCGAAACTCTCTCTGGGCGGGTCGGTCAGCACAACACAGCAGCTGGTGCGGGCCGGGTGCCATTTCCTACCGGACCGCGTCCACAACGCGCATCGAGAGAGCGAGGGATGAAGGGGGAGGGGTGGGGGAGGACAGTGCGCTTTGGTATGCAATCTGCTGCAATCGGATTACCCCTACCCCAACCCTCGGTCCATCTCGGTCCACGGGCGGTAATACCACTTGATGGTAGGTGGGCGGACCTTTCTACTAAATCCCCCCAACCCTCCACCGCTTCCTCCTCCCAGGCTCCCTGCTTTGCTCCTGCTGGCCTGCTCTTGCGCCGGATCATCACTCATAACATTAAAATCCACATAATTTTCCAACCTCATATGGTCAGAAAAAAAAAACAGGAGCTTTGTTATCCAAGATATGAAGAGCTAAACCAAGCATGTTACAATTTTCAAGTGGTCCCCTTTGAAAAAAAAACAAAACGAAATGAGCTTATGGGGCTCTGGAAATCTGCTTGGCTATAGCCAATTAGTATACTAATTACCCAAAGCAGCTTTCACTTTGTGGCGAAAAATTAAGTTTGATATAAGACGGTGGGAGCGAGGGGGCAATAACTCCCTTTTGATGTGTACACATGATTCCCGAAATACTTGATTCACAGTGATTCCCACCCCCTCCCGCTTATATTTATTCCTTATGCTTTATACTAGTAGAAAACGCTTATTTCGACTAATTTGTACCAGTTCCACTAGTTTCCAGCTTAGTTACCTGGCTTCCGCTGCCCGTGTTGGTGGGCCGCTCCTCCTCCAGGCCGGAGCTGGTGGGCGCGGCCAGCGAGGACGTGCCTAGTGCCGTCTCCGCCAGCCGCCGGGTCTGCGCCAGGTTCTCCAGGACCGTGTCGGTCCGGCAGTCCGACGCGTTGGGCTTGCGTGCAGCCTTGGCCTTGCGCGCCCGGTTGGACAGCGCCTGCAACAGAGAGTGGACGTCCACCTGTGAGAGAGGAAGGCAGGGGAGAGAGCGAGCGAGCAAGAGAGCGAGAGCGAGTGAGAGAGAGAGAGAGCGAGAGAGAGAGAGAACGGCCGAGAGTAGGGTGTCGGCGCCCGTAGCTTATCGTGACGCTAATTCCCAACAGCTTCACTACGGGTCCGGGAGGGGGCAGCCCCCCCCCCCCCCCCCTCCCCCCTTGCTGGGTGGTGCGCGGGTGCGCGGCGGCTGCGGGCGGGGTGGAAGGCGCTGACACAGCTGGCTCGCAGTATAGTTGGCTCGGTTCTATGCCCCCCGCCCTTTCTCCACTCTAGCCACCCCTCGTCTCGCCCGCCAGCCCTTCTCACCGCCGCCTTCTCGGGAAAAGCTTTCCTAAGCTCGCTGCAAGCCACTAGCCCCCGCCTGGCCCCGCGCCGCGCCGTGCTTTGCGACTGGTGGCCCCGTGGGTGCCCCTCAGGGCGCATCGCCCCTCCCTCCAAACGCGCCGGTAAGGGACATGAACGCATTCAGCGATCTTTCTTTTAGAAGCGCTGGCAGTGCTTCCGGTAGCCCTGCTCCGCCTGCTGCCCCATTCGTGACTCGGCTCCGCTCGGCTCGGCTCGGCTCCCACACGCGTGGTGCCGCCAGATAAACCTGGCTGGGTCATGGATTGTCATCAGCACCGAGAGCTAAGGGATGACGGCTGGGCCGAGCCGGGCTGGGCGCTCAACACAGGCCGGCCCTCTCAACTAAAGTGCTGCAGAGAGATAAACTTTTCTCGGCTGACGGGTGCTAGCCGAGCCCGGCGTCAAGCGCCGCCGCCCCTCCCCTTTCCTCTCTTTGCCCTTTATTTCTTTCACTAGCTTTTCTCTCCGTCGTCCACAGGAGAGACGCGGGGCGCGGCGGGACCCTCACTAGAGCGCAAGTAAAAGGTTATTTTTTTGCAATCGCACAGAAGAGATAAAACACCATCTCAAACTAACTCAGCTTCTCAAATTAAAATTCCTTTCCGGATAAACTTTTGCTGCTGCCCTGGTACCGAGCGGTCGGTGGACCAATAGCCGCCGCTACCGCTGCTGCTGATGGCACAATTTAAACTCCAACCCTTAAATGGAAAACAACTCTTCTCCGTCCGTTCTATCGACGGTGTGGCGAGAAGTGGTTTAAAACGCAGGCGTGTGGCTGGCAGCAGCGCAGGGCTCAGAGCGGCATGGGCGCGCGTTGAAGGAAAACAGACGGGCGGGAGATTTGAACGTGACGTCACGGCAGAACGTGAGCCACCGCCACGTGCTGTGGACGACCGAGAAAACGCATCGAATATCCCAACAACAGCCGTAAACGGCATACATAAATAATAAAATAAAATCTCGCCAACTTATCTCGTTTGGTGTCGGGGAGGGGCGCGCCGCGGCTGCGCGTCTGCTTCAGGCTCCTCGCTCGCGTGCGCATTCTTATGGCTGTTTCTGTTGTTGTTTTCGCTTCCGCATACGATTTGTTTTTTTTTCTACCCCATTATTATTTTTTATACTTTATCCCCACCACAACCTTCTTGCTTCCCTCCGCTGCCTCACGATCCCGCGTAAGAATGAGCTAAAGTATCTATGCAAATCTTTCTAAACGAAACACTTCGCAGGCCAATAACCGAGATGTCGAGCAGCACAAGCGGCACGTTCCCCGAGCTGCGGCTCCCGACGACATCGTGTTGGAGACGTTCTGGCGACACGGCCACGGGCACAGCCACAACCACAGCCACGTCAAGACAATATTCAACAGAGCAAGGAATGGAAGTTATTTCCATGCTTCGGGGTATGTCTTCCGCGAGCGGTCTGGAGCTGCTGGATAGCGCCGTGGAGGCAGGCAACACTGACTCCGGTTCGCACCCGTGCTGAGCGGGCTTGCCTATCCGCAGGCGTCCGCCCTCCTGCTGCAGCGCTATTTTCTTGCTGCATCTACCCCCTCCCTCCCCACCCCTTCTCTTTCTCTGACACACACACACACACGCGTCAGGCGTTTACCTCCTCAGCAGTGACCCACACTAAGTCTTCCCACGGTCCCGGGACCGGCCGGGATCCTGGCACGAGGACCATCGCGATAGCGGAGTATGTTGCAACACACACACACACACAAACACACACACAGAGGACGTGTCCAGTTAAAGGGGCCGCCTGGGTAAGCAGGGACAACGGATGGTGGCCTGCTGGCTCGGTCCCGGGCGTGGTAGCTGCCTCCCCCCTCGCCCTTCCCCCCTCTGCTTTATAATATACCCGCTACAGTTGATATAACGCGCTCGAGTGGAATCGCCTGAGGGATGGCCGCCATTACGTGGCGCGCACAAAAGGAGCCATCTCCATCTCGCACGCCAGGACCACACCCCTTATAGACGGGCCCGGAGGGCCTGGACAATCGGCTGATTTATACCCGGGACTGCCGTTTGGTTTGGGCCGAGGAGCCTGCTCCTCTGGGTGGCGGGCGGGACAATCCGTCAGGAGTGGTTTAATAGCGCCCCAGCAGCATGCGTCGACACGGGGAGGACGCGAGCACCTCTCCGATGGAGGCGCGGCTCCGGGGGGACGTCGCAGCAGACCTCTTCAAGATTTGGGGGAAAATGTCGGTTTTTTGTGCGTTTTGTGTCGTCGAACACAAAGTTCCATCATTTGCGAGACAAACGTGGCAGTTTTCGTCCAAAGCCGAAGGATAGTGTATGTAAATAGACCGAGTGAGAGAGTGAAGAGAGGGAGGGAGAAGGAGGGGGGGGGGGAG